CTATAAAGAATGAGAATGTGACGTAACGCCGCGTTGAGTTCTGGGAAACTGCTTTGTTTATCCGCCATACTTGCAGGATAGCGCTGCCTTTCCGCTATTGAGTTTAGGGCAGTATTTGATTGTTTGTCGTGATTGTGAAAAATGTCACCAGTGTATGTCATTCATACTGCATCGATAATTGCAATAGTAACTCAGATCATCGTTCTGAGAGAAAACTGGACAATGCAATATGTTTTTTTGTCTTTTCTGTGTGTAAAAACACCAAGGGAAGGAGGTCGCGGAGAAGACGCCGAATAGTAAATCTGTTAATGTCACTGATTAAACCCATTGACTCTCATTCAATAAAAGAATCACATTGCTGTGTGTTTTTGAAAGTTTTGATTTGGTTGGTTTAATAGTTAACATTACCTTCTTTGCGAGCATGACACTCTCACTAGGCTTGTGAATTAGCAGAACTTGAACAGGGGACTTTCTAAAATGCTTAAAGTGGCTTAGTGTACCAAGACAAAATTGTAAAGCATATACTATGTGCAGATATGCATATAAGATCAAAATGTGAACGCAACGCGTTTATTTACACGTTAAGCATTTTCCTCTCATATAAAGAACGCGCTTAATGCACCGAGACACTGATATTTAAAGACCACATTCTGTACACACATCTTACTAATAAAGCATAATATGTGTGGAAAAACAGATGAGCCCAAAATATGAACTTTAGAAATCGCTGTCTTAATCCAGAAGCGCTCTCAAGATTACAGTTTTCTAAAGAGAGGAAAATGCTTTACATGAAAACATGTCGCGTTAATATTCTGGCTCATCTGCATGTCTTTTAGCATCACTGTCTTAGCACATTAAACCAGCATTTGAAAATGCTACAAAACTTTCCCCAAGCTCTAGAGGAGAAACAATAATGTACAGTATGTGGAAAATAATGTGTTTTTTTAACTTTAAACCGCATAAACACATTTTATTACACCAAATACACAAAATAATGTTCTTTTTAGCAGCATCTAATCAATTCCATTTAATTGATTGCCAAGATGATAGCCTAGGTATTTTGACTGTAATACCACAGGAACCTCCTGACCTCCCAGTATGAGTGGTGGTGGTTGTATTGATTTTTTTTGCAAAACATATCCTTATTTCGACAGATTTGTTTCCATTTAAGAGCATGTTGTTATTTTGCGCCCAAGTTTCCAAAGCAAGTGCCTCCATTTCCATCTTTTTGTCTGTTTCTATGTCTTTTAACTTTACAGCTCGTGATATACCAATATCATCTGCATAAACTGTGTCCAGTGTATCACCAAAAATGACTTCACAGGT